GCTGGCACTGGGACTTTCTCCCACTCCAGGTTTACATTATCTCCAAAGAGATTTCTCCAATGTGCCTTCTGAAACAAACTTCTTTCAAACCAAAAGGGAAAATATATCTGATTCTTTTCCTCATTATTAATTAACATGTGCCAGAATAAATCCATGATTTTATGTATCCAAGCACAAAATAGCATATTTACCATCTGTGTTTCTTTAAGCTCTGTGTTCTTTTCTAGGCACCTCAACTGATAAATTAAAAAGTATAGAATTTGTGTTTGGAAAATATATGGAATATACTGAAGTATGGCAATTAAAATTATGATCAATTGGAGTTAAATATGACCCAGAAGTGAAACTCCGGGTTTTACAATTTTGATGTATTTCTTCCCTTTGCCTCAGCAGGTAACACCTGGCCATGGGAGGAAACTACACACAGCCCAAATTCATCCTCCTGGGAATTACAGACACTCCCTGGGCGCAGGCCCCTCTTTTTGGGCTCTTCCTGTTGATTTACATCGTCACTTTGGTGGGGAACATCGGGCTGATGGTCTTGGTTTGGGTGGCTCCCAGCCTCCACACCCCCATGTACTTCTTCCTCACCCACTTTTCCCTGGCCGACGTCTGCTATTCCACCGTCATCTCCCCCAAAATGCTCACAGATCTGTTATTTGGGGATAAAACCATTTCCTGGGCCGGCTGCGTGACACAATTCCACCTCTTTGCTCTCTTTGTCACGGCCGAGTGTCACCTCCTGGCCGCCATGGCCTACGACCGGCACGCGGCCATCTGCCACCCCCTGCGCTATGTCATGCTGGTGTCCCCCCGGGCCTGCTGGCAGCTGGTGGCCTGCTCCTACCTCGTGGCCTCCCTCAGCGCCCTCCTCTACACCAGCTGCACGTTTGGGGGCTCCTTCTGTGGGCCCCGCCGCGTCGACCACTTCTTCTGCGACGCCAGCCCCGTGCTGAGGCTGGCGTGCTCCGACACCCGCGGCGGCGAGGCCGCCATCTTTGCCCTGGCCACCGCCAACGGGCTGGGCACCAGCGCGGTCATCCTGCTCTCCTACGGCCGCATCCTCCACACCGTGCTGGGGATGCGCTCGGCGCCCAGCAGGGCCAGAGCCTTCCGCACCTGCGCCTCCCACCTGGCGTCCGTGTCCGTGTTCTACAGCTCCCTGTTCTTCATGTACCTGCAGCCGGCGTCACGGCACGGCAGCCAGGACAAGGTGGCCTCTGTCTTCTACACCGTGGTCAGCCCCATGCTCAACCCTTTCATCTACAGCCTGAGGAACAAGGAGGTGAAGGCAGCGCTGGGGAAGTGCAGGAGGAGGATGTTAAACCTCTGCTGGCATCAGAGAGGTGCAGCTCGTGGCATCAGGGAGTCCTGGAATGGTTTGGGTTGGAAGGGACTTTAGGAATCATCTGGTCCTACACTCCATGGGCAGGAACATCTTCCACTACACCAGACAGTTCCAAATCCCATCCAGCCTCGCCTAGAACTCTTCCAGGCATGGGGCAGCCACAGCTTCTCTGGGAAACCTGTTCCAGGGCCTTCCCACCCTCACAGGGAAAAATTTCTTCCCAGAATCCCATCTAAACCTACTCTCAGCTTAAAGCCATTCCCTGTTGTTCTGCCACTCCATGTCCTTGTGGAAGCAAACTGTTCCTCTAAAGCAAGAATAAAAAAGTTAAATTAAATTACACGTATTTTTCCCTGATCCTCACAGCTTTATATAGGTTCTTCCATAGGTCCTCACAAAATTCAATTACAATATTTATCCTGGAGAAATAGACCCCACAGTCACATATTCCTTGGAAGGAAACAGGAGTGGGAGCCTCAAACTTGAATTTCCTTTATGGCCACAAGGCTGTGGGAAGAAATCACCCAGAATTATTCCAGGGTATTATTCCAATTAAACCTTTCTTTCTTTCAGGAAAAGCAAATCACAGCTTTATTGGTTTATAACTTATTTTGCACTGATCAATATGTATTTTTCTTGCAAGATTATTGTCCTTATGCCTAAACTCCAATAAAATTCCTGATTGTTACCTGTGAGTTATTTATTAGAGCCAATTTGCTGGGGTGGGAAGGAGCATTTGGGAAGAATAAGGATATTTTAAAATTTGGTTGATAAATTAGTACAATAAAAGGTTTTAAAAATGCATTTTTTTCTGACTTAGAGGGATAAAAAGCTGATACAAGTCAGGATCTCAAGATATACTTTGGAATATCAAGGGGAATGCAAAACATATTGAAAACCTAACAGGTGCATTTCACTCAAACTTTAAGCACTTAAGTGTCTTGGTTTCCATAGAGGAAAGAATCCTCAACACCTGATCTATGGATAGTTGGGAGCTGTTTAGGTCTGGAAAAGGCCCTAAAAAGCCAAAACAACAGTTCTCCAAATTATAGCTCAATAAAGAAGGTACAGCACTGGGGAGAGACCAGCAATCCTTCATCTTTTCATGGCAGGCACTTAGAATGGAAAAAAACTCCTACTTTCTGCTCATCCTAACAAATTCCAAAGGATAAATATCCTTTGTTGTTTTTGAGAGGAAACTGAGTGCAATCCTGCAACTTTCTTTCACAGTTCTGATGGTCTGGATAAGCTCAGCAGACACTTCCCCCTCTTCCTCCTCACCCCTCATTTCGGTTGTCCCTCACCTGTGGACACCTTTGGGGGTGGGATGAGTTTGGATTCTGCAGAGGGATAAGCCTTGGCTGCAGCAGGGAAAGGTGGAAGCAGAAAACCTTTCTCTTTGGTATTCTGTTGTAGATGTTGTGTTCTGAGGAGTTACATGAGAATTCACTTCTGTTTGAAAAGTAAATGGACTGTGAGTAGTCTCCTTGTTCTCTGGGAAAAAACAGCAGGAGATGTTTTAAGTCTGGGAGGATGCAGGAAAGGTAGATTTGGACCTGGATGAAGAAGCTGGAATTGGTATAATTAAATGATAAAGACATAAATGTCAAATATAGATATCAAAGTTGGGTGGGAAGGGACTTTAAAGCTCATCCCATTCCACCTCCCTGCCATGGGCAGGGACACCTTCCACAAGACCAAGCCCTGTCCAACCTGGCCTTGGACGCTTCCAGGGATGGGGCAGCCCCAGCTTCTCTGGGCAACCTGTGCCAGGGCCTCAGCACCCTCACAGGGAAGGATTTATTTGCGATATCCAGTGTAAATCCACTCTCCTTCAGTTCAAGATTTTCAGATTTAAATGAAGAATTAAGAAAGCCCATCAGCAGGTCTGAGCTCCAGGGACCCATCATACAGGTGCTCACAGCTATTTCCAGCACAAGGGATGCTGCTCCCATTCCCAGGGCAAGAAGTGATCCTGGGAGACCAACCACCTTTCAAGGGATCACCAGCTTAACAAGATCTTTTGGGCTTTGCCAAGAAAGTTTCCTAATCATCATCATGGAACTTCTCAGAGGGCTTTTCAACAACTTCTTTCATTAATCTTAATGAGCCATTAGAGACTAATTAGCTAAGGAAAACAAGGAAGAAAGTTTCTTCCTTGTTAAAGACAAAGAGAACTTCTCCAGATGCTTTGTTTGTCAGATTCAGGCCCTGGAGCCAAAAAGCTGGAGGGTCAATGTGTTGGCACGGACTGTGCTAGGAGACCTTAAAGCTCATCCAGTGCCACCCCTGCCATGGGCAGGGACACCTTCCACTATCCCAGGCTGCTCCAAGCCCCAGCCAGCCTGGCCTGGGACACTCCCAGGGATCCAGGGGCAGCCACAGCCTCTCTGGGCAACCTGTGCCAGGGCCTCACCCCCCTTACAGGGAAGGATTTCTTCCCCCTATCCAATCTAAACGCTGTCAGTGTAAAGCCATTGCCCCTTGTCCTGTCACTCCAGGCCCTTGCCCAGAGTCCCTCTGCAGCTCTCCAGGAGCCCCTTTAGGCTCCGGAAGGGCCTCTCAGGTCTGACCTCTACAGACTGAGCTCAGATATGGGTTAGTGCTGGCCTTGGCAGAGCTGGGTTAACAGCTGGGCTCCATGATCTTACAGGGCTTTTCCAGCCTAAATGATTCTGGGATTCTGTAACTGTTTCTACCCATATTTGCTCTTGGTCAGCATTCCTGCCGCTCCTTCTGTGCTCAGTTTCACTGTAGTTCCAACAGTTTGTTCTGCCTTCCTCTGTCTCTCTTTTAGAGGGGAAATCGCACAGTTGCTCAAAACTAAGCAAAGCCTTTTTAATAATAAAACCAAAATACGAACAAAATGTCAGGATAGGGAGCAGCAGTTGCAATTCCACCATGATCCATAGGAGATGCCAGATGAGGGCTCCCTGCTCTTTCAGCAAGTTTGGGCCTTGAGTTAGGTCACTGCCCACCCTGATGGTAGCAACAAGAAAATTCTCCTTGGAATGGATGACTTTGGAAGTAGTTCCTTCAGCAGGAGACTTGCACTGGTAAGTAAACACCATCAATTTCAGGAAATTTGATGGTAGCCTGAGGGTTTATGTCCCACCTCTTTTTATATATATAAATTTATATGTATAAAGATCTTAATACCTATTTCTTTATGTATATAAAGAAATTTTGTGTATAGAATTTCTTTATATTTTTTCTTAATATATATAATTTTAAATATATATATAAATTTGTCCTTGAAATATATAATTGGCTTCTTGGCATCACAGGGAAGTAGAAAAAAATCAGTGTAGAAAATGGAGATTCAGGGATTGGAAAACAGCTGGGTATTTGGAGGAGTGCTGCAACTGCTAACTGGGAAGAAGGGAGAACACTTTAGAAAGTCTCCTGCTGCATTTTATTTTTACATTATCTGGGCTATCCTGATGTCTAAACAACCAGAGAGTGTCACAATCAGGCAGACGGAGAAAAGTCTCTCTTTTTTTTCCCCCCCTTAAAGAAGGAAATGGTCCCAAGTAGCTGTAATCAGAAGAGATGAAGAGCCCCTGGTCCTCAAGCTCTACAAATGGTCAAGAAGGGCTTAAATTCCCGAAATTAAAATACCAGGCGGCAAACACAAATAAAAAAGGAAATACTATTTTTCAGCTGAGTGTTTCCTCCCCATCAGTCTCCAGAGCCCGGCCTTCACCTCCTGGTTCCTCAGACAGCAGATGAAGGGGTTCAGCATGGTCATCACCATGGTGTAGAACACAGAGGCCACGTTGTCTCACTCTGGGGAGCTCCTGGAGCTGCTCTGGGCGTACACGGACACCAGGGATCCGTAGAAGAGCGCCACAGCAGCCAGCTGGGACGCGCAGGCGGAGAAGGCTTTGCGCTTCCCCACGGCCGAGCGCGTGCCCAGCACAGCAGCAGGAGAGGAGGATGGCCAGGACGGTGGCAGCCAGGCTGAAGCCCGCCGTGATGAACATTCCCAGCTCGCTGGGCGCGGGGTCCGTGCAGGAGAGGGCGATGAGCGGGAGCCTCTTGCAGTACAAGTGGCCGATGACCTTGGGGCTGCAGCAGCTCAGCTTAAGGGCCAGGCCCGTGTGCAGGGCGTCATTGGTGACCCCAGCCAGGCAGGAGCCGGCCATCAAGAGCACACAGATCCCTCGGGACACGGAGAGGGAGCAGAGCAGGGGGTGGCAGACGGCCTCGTAGTGGTCGTACGCCATGGCAGGCAGGAGGCAGCACTCGGTGGTGGCGAAGGCCACGTAGAAATAGAACTGCGTCAGGCACGCGGCCTCACGCGGCTTGTCCTCATCCAGGAGATCCCGGAGCAGCCTGGGAGTGATGCAGGAGGAACAGCAGAGGTCAAGGAAGGACAGGCTGCTCAGGAAGAAGTACATGGGGGTGTGGAACTGGGCAACCGGCCTGATCAACACCAGCAGCGCCACATTCCCCAGCAGGGTGATCACACAGATCACCAGCAACACCACAAACAGGACAACCTGGACATGCTCAGAGAATCCCAAGAGGACAAAGTGAGCACTGGTGGTTCCGTTTCCTTTGGCTGCCATCCTAATGCAGGTGCTGTGGGAAAGCCAAGATGGAGAGTCAGGGTATTCCTGTTTTCTGCACAAACGTGTTAAAAATGGCTGCATTTTTATTAGCAAACACAGCCTGGAGATGCAGGAACTGCAGAATTTACTGTTTGGTTCAAAATACATTTTAAAGTAGTCAAAGTTCACTACTGAGTTTGTTTCTGATGGTTTTAGTCTGGCTTAGCCATTGATTTGGTTTGATAAATCACTTTGCACAGTGGAAGGTTTGTACCACCTCATGAGGAAGTTAAGGGAATGATTACTCCTCAGATTCAAAGCATTAACCACAGTAATTTATCCTGACTTTAGAAATCATTATGAATTTGAAAAACAAACTGAAAACAACAAAAACCACCCAAAAAACAACTCCAGACCTCATTGGTTTAGAAGATCTAAAGGAGACAAAGCACTGGTGAGAGATCAGGACACCTTTAAAATTTTCTTTAGGAGAGTTAGAACAAACTAAAATAAACCAAATTTCTTCTCTTCCTTCCTGTGAAACTGAAATTCAGGTTGAAACAGGATATTTGTATTAAAAAACCCTTTAAATATGGTGATACTTGTGTCATTCCTGTGAGAAGTGTGAAGTGGAGAAAGAAAAGGGTTTTTAAAGTCTGGAGACCCCAAAAATGTTGTGGTGCCATGATTAACTGGAAGGAGTAAGATGCTGATAATACAGTTCAAATAAACAGAATATTTATAATTTGGGAAATAATCCAGGTAGTGCTGCTATGCAATGATTGATCTTCAAGGCCAGGTTGGACAGGGCTTGGAACAACCTGGGCTAGTGTAAGGTGACCCTGCCTGTGGGTAATCACTGGAGGATCCATAAGGTCCCTTCCAAGCCAAGCTGTGGATTTCATGATAAATTCCTGGGTTTCACCTCAGAGATCCTGAGCCTGGATGATTATCTGTTGTGAGAACAGGCTCCCACCTCGAGCCCTCTCCTTGCAACAGATCAACTCCCTGCAGCCTTATTTTGGCTAAAATTCACCTGTTTCCTCACATCTCAGGGCCCTTTTTGCTTGATCAGATTTTATCTCCCAAACCAAAATTTCCAGGGAGAAATAAACCCAGTGTTAGTGTGGAAGACGGGAATAATTTACCTTCACAAAGAGCATTAAAACTTGACCAAAAAATTTGCTGTTTGTAGTCTTCATTCACAGGAACACCAAGGGGCTTGTCACTGCCCAGCCCTGGAGGAGGAGATTTCCATTGGGAGTGGATGACTTTGGAAGCAGCTCCTTAAAGAGGAGACCTGCACAGGTAAATAAACACCATTAGTTAAAACAACTCAATTAGTTTCAGGAAGTTAAATGGCAGCTTAAGGATTTATTTACCACAATACAAATATAATTAAATATATGAACATTTTACTACATAAATAAAGTTAATATAGAGGTTTAATTTATATATGCAGTTAGAGATGTAATTACTTAATACATATAAATATTTTCCTAATATATATAATTTTATTTTATATATTGTATGTAATTACATACATTTAAATGTATCTCTTGGAATATATAAATAATTTCCTGGGATCACAGGGAATTAAAAAGAACTAGTGCAAGAAATGGAGATTCAGGAATTGAGAGACAGCCTGGGGTTTAGAGAAGTGTTGCAATTGCCAATCAGGGTGAAGGGAAAACTCTGCAGGAACTTTCCTGCTGCAATTTATTTTTACATTTTCTGGTGATACTGATGAGCTGAATTTAAGACTTTTAGGTTCAGGTTGACCCTTCCATCAATTTGCCCAGAGTCTGCCTCCTAATTCTGCTGATATGAGGAACATTCATATAAAATTTGAAGTAGGAATGAAGGTTCAGATGTACTGGAATACGTGTTTTGCAATCAGGAGGAACCTTTGCAATTTCCTGGAGTTATTTGTTATTATATCCTTCTGCAAACATTTGGGAAGAACAATTTTCCCCAACCAGCAAAAACTTGTCCCAAAACTACTTAAAATTTCATCCTCTCTGATTGTTAAGATACTCACAGGTCCTTGAGCTGGAGTCCACAAGCTCCATCGGTCTGGCCAAAACCAGGAAGTTTTCGGTTTCCATCCTCTAATGTGGCTGGAATATTTAAGTTTTACCCCATCCCCACACAACCAATTACCACAGGGTCTCTGAGGCACCTGAACACACAATGAGCCTTCTCCAGAGGCCCTGGGATCCATCCCGAGGTTCCTCCCTGGAGTTTTAGGGATGGGATGCCCGCAGCACATCAGAATTGATGCCTGCAGAGCCTGGGCGATGCCATTTGTGAACACAACACTGCCAGGAGGAAACATCAAAAAAAGGATTTTGGCTTGAATTTGAAAGATTTTTACATTCTTCTCTAATTCATATTATTCTTCTCACCCTGCCAAAGAAGCTTTTCCTTCCCTGTTCCTCCAGCTCTCAGTCAGAGGTTCACTGCAGGAAGTCACTCATCGATGGCTCGACTCCACCTTGGTGGCCACCACAACCTCCACAGCTGCTCTCCTGTCCCCGTGTATGGAACAATTATTCCCCATGGGCAATGCTCAGCATTTTCCCTTTTCCAAGCTTACCTGGTTCCCATCTGCCCATTTTTGACCAGGAAACCTCATTTTCAAAAGCCATTTTGCAATGTGTGCTTCCAAGTGGGTTCAGGAGACTCACGGGGAGTAAACTGTACCAGCCAGAGAATCCTGGGATGGCTGGGGCTGGAAGGGAGCTTCAAGCTCATCTCATTCCAATGCCCTGCCATGGGCAGGGACACAGGATGACCCCTGAGGAATGTGTGTCCACCACCAGGAGCAAACATCAATGCTGGACGTTCCATCTCCTTCCCACATGGCAGCTCCAGCTCCTCTCATGCATGGTCAGATGCTGTTCCCACAGAAGCTGGACACAGTTCACCCTCATTTCCCCAATCCCCATTTGCACAACAACCCAAAACCTTTTGGTTTTGAGAGCAGCAGCTCCAGCACAAAGCCACAACATGCACAGTGACAGTGCCACGGCCAGAGACTCAGGGTTTAATTCACTAAGGGCTCACATTCCTGTTTAAAGGTCAGGTGATGGCCAAGGCAAGACCAGATGGACAAAGGAATTAAAGCCATGAAATGCTTTTTCAAAATATTATCAAAATATTGAATATTTTGATAATATTTTTTGTATTGCCAAACAATGGCTGTAAGGCCCTGGAGCAAAGAGAATTGCTCTGAGGCTCATGTTTTAAATGCCTTAATGTTTTACTCAATTAAAAATTATGGGGGGATTATGTTTTAAATAAGACATTTTAAAAAAACTTTAGTCCTATTTAAAGAAAAAATGTACAATCTTGCCTGCACCTAAATTAAACCATGTCCTGAGGGCGGCAGGGAGGAGCAGAAGGGTGGGAGAACAGCAGGAGTTACACAAAGAGGTCCCAGTTCATGGTCCTGATCACAGAGTCATAGAAATGGTTAGGTTGGAAAAATCCTCTGGGCTCATCAAGTCCACCATTCCCACAGCAGTGCCAAGGTCACCGCTAATCCATATCTCCCCAAGTGCCACAACCACACACCTTTTAAATCCCTCTAGGGATGGGCATTCCACCACTGCCCTGGCTACCTGTTCCAGGGCTGGACAGCCCTTCCCATGAAGGAATTTTCCCTTTCCAACCTAAACCTCCCCTGGTGCAACTTGAGGATGATGTCTCCACATCTGTGGACGTGTGAGTTGAGGCCCTTTGGGGCCTGCCATGGGGGCTCAGCACAGCTGAGGAAAGATGAACAGGAGCATAAATAGCTCAGGGGGATTTAGCCAGGCAGCCAGACTAAATAATAACCAGGGAATTTTTGGTAAGATTTGGGGAAAAAAGGATTCAGCTGAGTGACCCTGAGTGCCTGTGAGTTTTGTGTCATCAATAAAGCAGCAAACTACCTTGATTCTGGCTTGATTTAATCCAGCTGAACAGCTTCTCCTCCATCCCAAGTTCTTCTGAGTCTCTAGGAGAGTCTCATCACTCTGGATTTCACCATGGACCTGGCACAGGGTGAGATAATGCACTGATTGGAGGGTTTGGGGTTTTTTCGTATATATGCAATGCTTTAACACCAAATGTGTCACAGAATTCTGGAACGGTTTGGGTTGGAAGGGACCTCAAAGCTCATTCAGTTCCAACCTCCTACTGTGGGCAGGGACACCTTCCACTAGACCAGGCTGCTCCAAGCCTCATCCAAACACCAAAACTGGAGCGAAATTGTTATTTTCAGCTGGTATCATCTAAATCAAAGTGCAGAAGGCCCCAAAAATGTCTCTCTTCATATTTCACAAAAATCCCAGCATATTACCCACATCTCCATTGTATCTCGCCACAACGTTAAAATGTCCAAGCTCATTTTATTTTACTGAGTCTCCTCCAAGCCTCTTTCACCTCCTGGTTCCTCAGGCTGTAGATCAAGGGGTTCAGCATGGGGGTCACAACAGTGTAGAGCACAGCAGCCCATTTATCTCCTCCCCTGGAGGTGTCTGACCTGGGGATTAAGTACATGAAAATCAACGCCCCATAGAAGGTGCTGAGGGCAGTGAGGTGGGAGGCACAGGTGGAGAAGGCTTTGCGCTTGCCCTCAGCTGAGCTGATGCTCAGGATGCTGGAGATGATGGCCACATAGGACACCAGGACCACCATCATGCTGGGAACACCGAGCAAAGATGAAAAAGTCCTTAGGATGATGAGGCTGAGGGTCGTGTCAGAGGTGGAGAGCGAGATCAGCACGGAAATGTCACAGAAGAACAGATCGATGGTGCTGGAGCTGCAGAAGAACAAGCTAGACATGCCAATGGTTTGTCCCACGCCGTTGGTCAGCCCCAGGAGGTAGGAGCCGGTCACCAGGCGGGAGCAGCGCTCCGGGGACATGACAAGGGGGTAGAGCAGGGGGTGGCAAATGGCCACGTATCGGTCATAGGCCATTGTAGCCAGTAGGAAACACTCAGTGACCAGAAACAGGCCAAAAGTGAATATCTGAGCCATGCACCCAGCATAGGTGATTCCCTTGGTCCCCAACAAAACCCCAGCCAACATCCTGGGGGTGATGATGGTGGAAGTGCAGAGGTTCACAAAAGCCAAGTTGCCCAGGAAATAATACATGGGGGAATGGAGCAGGGGACTGGCTCTGATCAAGGTGATCATCCCCAAGTTCCCCAGGATGGTGACAAGGTAGGTGAGCAGGAACAGCAGGAAGAGGGTGACCTGAGTTGCCAGGTCCTCGGTGAATCCTGCCAAGCTGAACTCATTTGCTTGGGTGCAATTGCTTCCTGGCATTCCTTCAAAGTGTGTTGTCTGTGTCAACTCCTTGCTAGAGGTTTCCTCCAGCTGGAAAACCCTCTTTGCAGTGGGATCTGTTTGGAGACAACCCTACAAGATCTAAAACAAGAGTTTAGGTACAGATTGGTTAGACAGTGCTGGGTGGAAGTCATGGCATGGGTAGGGAGAAGCTGTAGCTTACACAACCCTGAGGAGTTTTACTTTGGTGCTGCCTTCAATCCCCTGTGTGTCTTCAGTCTGGGACTTGGAAATCATCCAGCACAACCTGAAACACAGAGAAACCCAATAAAAGCTGTAAAAGACAGCACAGAATTGATTACTCTTCCTTGTGTTGGCATCTGCCAACCACCCACTTTGTCTGTCTTCTCCATAGAATCCTGTAAGGGTTTGGGTTGGATGGGATCTTGAAGACCATCCCATTGCACCCGCTGCCATGGGCAGGAACACCTTCCACTAGACCAGATTGTTCCAAGCCCTGTCCAATGTGGTCTTGAACACTTCCAGAGAAGGGGCACCCAAAACTTCCTGACTATGGAGTCTCCCCTCCCTCCTGATGCACTGGTTTGGCTCTAAAAGATTTTCCCAGCTCTTTATTCTGTTCCTGCAGTCTTCAAACAAAAACATGCAACACCCAAAGCTCAGCAATCTCCTCCTGAAAATATTTCTTTTTGGGGGAAAAAAAATTAAAAATCACCTTTTGGACGTGCCTTATATCAGCAATAGTAAGATCCATAAGTATTCCTTACAGGAGAAATGCCAGTCCTCATCCAGGAGCCCTCTGTGGTCAGTGAGAAGTACCCAGAGGGAGTGTTCCAATGGGGTGTCCTCACCACACACCTGCAGCAGATCACCTGGATTTGGTGCTAAGCCCAGAGTACAATAAGGAACTGGAGTCCAGGAGCCTCCAGGTAGGAGCTGAGATGAAGACTGAAGCTGTTTCTTCTTTGCAAGGAAAAATGACAGGGCATGGGTCGCTCAGCATGTGCTGTCCTTACTCCTGGTTCTCCAGGATGATCCTCCCCTACATCTCTGCAGTCTCCCTGCTTCCCTCCTGATGCTCTTCAGGGTGGATATTAAGGTGCTCTGCAGGTGAATTTAAAAATATACCATCAGCAAAGACATTTTTCCATGTAATTTGGGGATTTAGAGGCTCTTGCAGCCCCAGGAGAGTGACAAAGCCCAAAGCAGGTTGTTATTGCTTCTCTGAGCTTCTGAGTTTGGAGATTATTACACAGAGGAGATTATCTCAACTTGAGTAAGCCACAGGGCTTTGGGGACTCCCCAGAGCAACCACAGTTCAAAACTCCACCTGTTGTGTCAAACTTTTGAGCATTACAGAGATTTTCAGCTCTACAAATGCTGTGTTTGGTGTTATAACACCAGTGAGCTGAGGGGAATCTCACTGGTGGGGCACAGTCCCATGGGAGCTGGTATCCATCAGCAGTTCCAGTCACCAGAGGTGATGAATCACCTTTCTACCTGCTCTAAATTCCTTAGACCCAAACCACTGCTCACCTGTCCCATCCCTGGAAGTGTTCAAGGTCAGGTTGGAGGGATCTGGTCTAGTGGAAGGTGCCCATGGCAGGGGGATGGAACAAGATGAGCTTTAAGGTCCTTCCCAGCCCAAACCATTCCAGGATTCTATGAAGTTTGGCTGCAAGAATCCAGGAGAACCGCAGAATGTGCTGAGGAAGGGATCCACAAGGATCATCAAGTCCAGCTCTCAGCCCTGCACAAACCCATCCCCAAAAGTCACAGCATGTACCCAAGAGCATTGTTTAAATGTTTGTTGAGCTCTGTCAGACTTGGTGCTGTGACCACTGGTCTGGGGAGTCAGTCCAACCACCCTCTGGGTGAGGATCATTTTTCAAATACTCAGCTTAAACCTCCCCTGACAGAACTTCAGGCCATTCCCTCAGGCACTGTCACTGGTCACTAGGACAGAGAAGACATCAATGTCTACCCCTCTTCTTCCCCTTGTGAGGAAGTTGCAGGCTGCAAGGAAGTCTGCCCTCAGTCTCTACACAGAAAGCACCTCTGGCACTTCAATGGAATCAGTTTTTATCATTGTGAAGATACAGTGAATAAACCAAGGGCACATCAATAAACCTTTCTCCATAAGGACAGCCCCAGGGAATACAGAATTTTTCCTATGCCTCGTCAAACGATATGCAATATACAAGCAATATACATAGTCCAAACCATTATTCAATTACCTTCTAATTTCTAACCCCCTTGTCTCAAAACAAACCAGCAGCCAGTTTTTGAGAAAAGACTCCAGACTCTTGTTTCCCTCTCTGGCTCTAAAACACTTGCATGGACTTGGAAGTTCATACAAGCTTGTCAGGATTTGGGCATTTCATTTAAATTCCATTCATATTCCATTCCATTCCATAGGAGGAGGTACCTCCACTCACATTTTAATTTTAAGCCCTCTACCACTGATAAATTTGGATGCTTTGTTAGGAACACCCCACCTCTGCTTCTTTAGGCAACTCCATGTGAGAGATAAAACAAATGTGGACAAGAGTTTGGAATGCAGCTTCCAAGTCAAGTTCCCTGCTAGGAAATGACTCCAGCTCTTTGCTCTGTGTTTAAACACAGCCTGGCCCTGCAGGGCTGCAGACTCTGAGCCACACAACTTGTGAGCTGGCCAGTAACAGCAGCTGAGGTCTCATTCCAGCTGTACACAAAAACAGGGATGGGGGGCTGCCCCAATCCCTCCTTGGAAGGCAGCATCTCCCACCTGGACTTGTGCCGTTCCCAGCCTTTGGTGGCCGCTCTCTCCATCCTCCCACACCTCCTCATCTTCCTCCTCGGCAGGGCTGCCTTCCTCATCCTGCAGAGCAAGCACAGGGACAGTCACCAGCCTGCTCATCCCCAGCTGGGCAGCAGGGACGGACTGGTGGCACCCTCTGGATGTCACCCCTCTGCCCGGCACCGTCCCTGCTCCGCGGCCCATTCCCGTTCCCGGCCGGGCATCTCCTTGGAACGGGATGTTAAACCACAAACGTTTGCTCTGGGGGCTGGGACAGCACAGACTCCCCCGAGGCAGTGGGCAAAGCTCCTGCTCCCACATCCTCTGCTCCCACAGCCCTGCTGGGGCTGGACAGAGCAAAGGGAATCCTCAGCTCCTGCTGGAACTTTCCTCCTGCGCCCACAAACCCAGAGAAACCGTGGCTGCTCCATCCCTGGAAGGGCCCAAGGCCAGGCTGGATGGGGCTTGGAGCACCCTGGGCTGTGGATGGAATGGCAGGGGATGGAATGAGGTGATCCTTAAGGTCCCTTCCCATTCAAACCATTGGGGATTCCAGGATGATTCCATGATTTCTCCATGCATCTATTTTGTATTGTTTCCTCTCATATTTAAACTCCTAAATTTAGATGATTTATTAAAGAAATAATTTAAAAATATTTCCAGGAATAAAAAGGGAAGCATCAAACATACAACAATCATTCCCATGTCCATCAAATCATTATTAACTGGAAACCTATTCCCTCATATCTGTCTTTCTTCTTCTTTCCTGGAAATCCTTATGATGCCACAGTTTCTCTGAGACATCAGCTGGGATTACTGTAGGATTTGCTCTGTCAGAAATCCAGAGAGATTTACAACATTTGGTCCTCTGCATCTTTGTCCTTTCACCAGGTCTCTAGAACAGTGTTGTGGGAGAAGTTTGGAATTACTATAAGTGGATCAACTTCACAGTTGTTCCCTTCTATTTTTCAACTATTTCCAAATTCTTGGAATTACTCTCAAATACACCCAAGAAACTTCCTGTGAAAACACAAATCAGAGGAACATATGGAAAAGAGAAAACTGCCTCCAGCAGCAGCTGGAATGACCCCATTGCTGTTCTTACCTGCTCTCCAGGTGCTCCTGCCAGAGCTCCCCACAGCCACCGCCATTCCTCAACAGGAGCTATGGAAGACATTCCTGCTGTCCATGAGGGTGAGGAGGCAGTTTGGGATGTTCTTTGCTGTGCAATCAGACAAGAGAGTGTCAATGACCTTGTGGTCCCTTCCAAGCCAGAGCAGCCCCTGATTCCATGGTGCAATCAGCACCTCTCCCAGCTCCATTCCAGAAACATCCTCACACTAACCCAGGACTTTCCTTTTCTGCACCACATCAGGGATGTGCTGCCGAGTGCCCCGGGCAGGGGACGCCTCAGCCTTCCCTGTGGCATTTTCCCTGGGACACCTCAGCACCCCCTGGGATGCCCCAGCATTCCCAGGGTCCCTGAGCATTCCCAGGGTCTCTCAGCATTCCCAGGGTCTCTCAGCATTCCCGGGATGTCCCAGCATTCCCGGGATGCCGCTCCCGCCGTCCCGGGCTGCAGTGGCGGCGCTCCCCGCGGGGCGGCAGCACCGGCGCTCCCGGCCCGTCCGGTCCCGGTGTCTCGGGGCTCCCGCGGCTTTAACCCGCCCGAGCCGGCGGGGCCGCGAGCGCCGCGGGCAAAACCCCCGATCCCCTTGATTTCACCTCCAAGGCACAGGATCGCAGCATTCCTGAGCCGGAAGGGACCCACGGCGGGCACCGAGTCCAAATCCTGGCCCCGCACAGGACCCCAGGAATTCCCCGCTGTGCCCGGGAGCCTTGTCCAGACCCCGGCCCTTCCCCAGGATCCCGGAAACACAGCGGGGCTGGGAGAAGGATGACGACGGGCTTTTATATATATATATATATCTCGTTAATGGATCGTTCTACAGATCCGTTCGGTATCGCTATCGGTAACCCCACAACCAGTATGTGCCTTGTACCTCGCCACCCATCCTCACACGGCGCTTTCACGGCGGCGGCTGAGCCAGCCCGAGCTGGTCCCTCCGGATCCGGAGAGCAGCGACCACCTCATCCTTACCCCAAACTGTGCATTCTCTCCCCTGCACATTAATTCAGGTTTCACCCCAAAATGTTCGTTTTGGCCCCTACGGAATCCGCCCCAGAGCGACGCCCCGGGCTCCGCTCGGCCGAGGCAGCTCCGGTGTCCCCTGCCCGCAGCTCCCGCGGCTGCCGCCTTCCCGCTCCGGCCCGGAACGGGACAGCCATCCCTGTGCCGGGACACCCATCCCTGCACCGGGACACCCATCCCTGCGCCGGGACACCCATTCCCCGTTCCCCGCTCGGGGCTGTCTCCGTTCCCCGCTCACCTCCGAGCCCGGCCCCGCCGCTCCCCGGGCTCCGCCATCGCCGCTCCTGAGTTTGGTCCCAGAAAAAAACTCGGGATTTAT